GAAAGAAAGAAACAGTAAAAAGGTTAGAAGCCTTGAGAATTGGATGGAAACCTCAAGCTTTCCTGAGAGTTCCCAGTTTCAGCTCTCAAGGGCAGGGACCACTGAGTGACTGTTCTCCTGAGAAGGGTCTGAAAAGAGATCCATGATGGTTACTTACTGTCACTATTTACCTGTATCGGAACCGGCTCCCTTTAAAGAATAAATTGCTGCTGGACACTGTGCGGACTTGGCTCGACTTCTCCAGCCTGCAGCAAGACAAAGGGCAATGTGACAGATGGCCTGAACCGCCTCACCAGCTTCGGCAGCGCATCCCCAGCTCCTTTCAAAGGGTACTTGTGAGAACTATGAGGATTAAAAGCCCTTCCCAGCCCAAGCTTGTCTCTGACTCTCACTCAGGACCTGAAGGCTGTGCTCATGGCCATCTGCCCTCCTGCCTCAGTGCCCGGGATGTAGAAACCCACCTCAGAGTCAGGTGAGGGAAGGCTCCCCAGGAATGCGTCATGGGCTCCCCCGGGGGACTGAGGATAGATATTAGGGATGATCACGTTGGGGGGGGGGGAGGGATGCTCGGATACCATCCACCTAATCTCTATCAGACCGCTTGTTGGCGTGAGCCTGGGCAAATGTCTTTTCCTCTCTCAGCCTCAGCTGTCCGATCTAAAATGATGGCGGTAGGGCTATGTGACCTCAGGGGTCCTTTCCAGTCCTATTTTTTGATGCTTTATGTCCATCGCTGGGTAATTGTGGGTGGCTAAGAGGATAGCAGCTGTCCTTTCTAGTCCATCTCCATTTTGGAGAGTCCTAAAGAAATTATCATAGTGAAGATATGGAGAACTGCGGAGAAGAACAAGCTTAACTTTAATAAAAGCTTCTTTGTTCCTTTGAACTTGGAGCCAGCCTCCCTTCCCAGAATGCCTATTAACGTCACTTTTTTTCCCCAAAGAAATATTTATTAATTTTTACTTATTATTTCAAAATCTAACCAGGGAGAGAGAGAGAGAGAGAGAGAAGTGAAAATGCAAGCTCCCAGGTCTGGGACTCGAACCGTGGTTGACCATGTGGGAATCTGGTGCCTTAACTGACACGCTACCTCCTGGCCCCCTAACATCACTTTTGAGGCTGCAGCAGCTAATACAGACACTCTGGAAGGCTACGGAACTATAAGGAAAACTTGTGGGTGACTTTGCTAGTCCCATTAGCTCTCTCATACTTAGAAAAGGAACTGAGGGCCAGCAGGTGGCTTGGTGGCTAAGGCACTGAATCCCACATGGCTGATTGCATGGTTCGAGTCTTGGACCTGGGAGCTTGGAAACACACTGAGCGGGTGTGTGAGTGCCCAAAATCCAGAGAGGGGACTAGAAGAGAAGGGATTTCATCCCCCTGGGGGTAATTTCTCATTTTCCCTCTCTCTGTCTCTCTCTGTCAGTGCACATGCCTTATGACAAAAATCTAAACAATAAAAAGGAAAGAAAAGAAAAGGAAGCTGCCCAACAGAAGTCTCCCAGGACCGACTCACTTGCAGCTCTCCCAGAGTGCCTTGTCTTGGCCAGGAGTCCCCCTGGGTCTGACTTTGCCGTGAGTGGACAGTGAGTACTTGGGGAGCTATCCCCACAATCCATGAACAGTTCTGGGAAACAGCACCCCCGCCTGTCTCAGGGCTCTGAGGTCTGGGCCCACCTGTCTGAGCATGTCCTCAAGTCTCAGAAGGCACCTCCAAGACACTGAGCCAAAGTCAGGACCAGGGGTCTATATGTGTGCGAGGTTGAGAGAAAGAGCAAGATCCAAGTGGCTGCGGCTAGAGACTTGGTGGAACCGGGGATCTGATCCGGTTTGAGACTTTTAACCCCTGATTAGAAAAATAAGGAGGCAGTGGAAAACAGTGAAAAATAATCTCTGTGTCCAGTGTAGGCGTTGGCAAGACTGGGTAAATGTGGACATCTCTTGGCAGAAAGACTCAGAAACAGACTGGTCACAGAGTGAGAAGGGTACTTCTGTGCCCATAACACAGATGAAGCAACAAAGGCTTTACGAACTGCTGCTACAGGCAGGAAAAGATAAGAGCCAAGGAGATGGCTTCTGTTTGTGTTAGACCCGTTGGCAGAGAGAAAGAGGATGCTTCTAAAGGTACCACTCTAGGCCAGTGACAGCTGAGCATGGAGCAGGCCCCTGTCTTCTCTGGTGGGGAGACTCAAGAGACCCTGTCCTTCCCTGGCTAGTCTTCAGGCCCATAAGTAGGAGTTTGCATTTCATGTTGCTTTTTTTCCAGGCTCATGTAACTGGCTGAACCTGGGCCCTCCTCACAGCCAAAGGGAAGGTGGTAGCAAAAGCAAAGTGGTTTCTTGGCTCTCCCTGGATAATAGGGACTGAACAGGTGGGAAATCTGCCCAGCAACCCACAGCAGTGGGCAGGCAGCAGGGTCTGTTCACTGAGAGGATGTGCACACTCAGGCCAGGCCAGTTGCGATGTCTAGGATGCTACAGGTTACTGGAGGGAGGACCTGACCTTGCAGGGCATTTGTTGAGTCACCCCAGTACAATTCTATCTTGCCTTGTCCTGGTTAGGATATATTGTATTAAAGTCCAAGTCATTATGGTTTATTTTTAAAATAAGGCCAAAGGGTTCAATGAACCATACCTTGCCTAGCATCACCCCAGTTTTATTTATTTATTTATTTTTAAGAGTTTTTTTATTTGACTTAATTTGACCAGAGAGGGATGGAGTGAGAGAGAGAGGGAAAGTGAGAAATCAAGCCTCCAGGTCCAGGACTTGAACCACATTAGGCCATGTGGGAGTGCAATGCCCTGAACCACCATGCCACCTGTCAGCCCTGCTCCTTGATGATTTTAAAACCACTTCCTTAAAGAAAACTAAACATAAAGCTTTATAAATCACAAAATCCTTTGGTAAGGGAAGTTGGTTTTTGTTTTAAAGAATTGCTTTATTTAACTTTATTTGTTTATTTAATTTGACCAGAAGGGACAGAGCAAAAGAGAGAAAAAGAGACAGAAAGTGAAAAAGCAAACCACCAGGTCTGGGACTCAAACTGCGGTCAGCCATGAGGGAGTCCAGTACCCTTAGCCACAATACCACCTGCCGGCCCAGTAAGGGAAGTTCTTGCCTTTGGCCTAAACCTGGTTTCTCAGTAACACCCAAGACCTTGTGTATCTGCAGCCACTCCACCACAGGCTCCTGGGCACTTGGCCTGTCCCTGGCAACACCTTTGGGCCCCCACTGGATTTTTCTGGCCCAAGACTTAACTCCTAAAGACCAGCCTTTTATGCCACTGGGCACTAGCCAAGGACATCTCTTGGCCGCCCCTTGGGCAACTTAGCTGAAACACCTCTCATATCTTGCATCTCCAGAGGGTCAGACTGCCCCTAGAAAGGGGTCTGGGCTTAACTAGTAAGCTCAGCCTTGTCATCTTGTGTCTCTTTTTACAGTTTCTCAAAGTGCCTGCCCATGATTCCTTTAAAACTTGCTTCTATGACTTTGGCTTTGATAAAGATGGTCCCCATCACATACTTCCACTTACTTGTAGAAGGCTTGGTTCTCAATTCCACATTTCCAGAGGTGCTTGCAGGCTTCAGGAGTTGGAGCAAAATATGTAAGAATAATTTTCTTTTCCTGCAAAAAATCCCACATAGAAATGGCTGGGTATGGATGGAGAAGGGAAGGGTGCAGTGGCCCAGGACGCTAATTCCTGAGCTTTGGACAGGCCCTGGCAGCTGGAAGTGAAGGCCTGCAGGATCCCACTGGAGCAGGGCTCGGTTCACCTCACACTTGGCAAGTCCAACCAGAGTAAGTCTCACCTGGCACAAGTTGAACCAGGAGAGCCCTTGGTGAGAAGGTGGCACTTGCATGTGTAATTTTCATATGGAAGAATAACCTTACTTTGACTACATTCCCTGGAGGTGGGATCTCCTAGGTGGGAACTCCTGGGTGTCCTCAGCATCCCTGAGGAAGACCTGTGCTCTGGGGCTTCCTCAGCCCTTCCTACCTCACCTCCAGGTCTTGGTCTTGATGGAGGAAACAGGTGGTTTAGCTCTACCTGGGCCTTGGAGGTTTGGCCCTGGTCATCAGAATCACCCCAGTGCCCCGGCCCTCCCTGGAGAGATGGAAGCCAGCACTCACCTCTTTCTGACTTACGTATAAATAAAAAGTTTTTCCTTCAAATTTCAGCTTGGCCACCTCATTCCTAGAAGCACAAAGATGGCACCTGTCACCTCACCGTGAGCTGCTCATTCACAGCTCAGTCTCGTAGATGCACAGCCCACCCCAACTGGAAGGGGCTCCAGGCACAGACACATTTTAGCCAAAATTAGAACTAAAACAAGACAGCAGCGCAGTGGCCTTAGAGAACAGTTGTTGGAACAGCTCAATCCACAGTTTTCTGGTCAATCACACTATAATAATAGGATGATAGGAGGGTTTCGGGCTCATCAACAGTGGCTGTAAAAGGGAAATATTTGCATGGAAAGTGAGTATAGGTAGAGTGTCCGGGGTCATTTCAGGATTTGATTCATAACACAGGTGCATTATCTGGACGGGACTGTCAAACGTAAGATGCCACAGGTAGCTGATGAGGCCAAAGTTCAAGATACAGCAAATGATGAAAAACAATGCAACCAGGTTCTGAGGGAGTTGAGTCTTTCAGGTGACTGTGCCACTGGATGGAAAATGCAGTTTAATGCAGACAAATGTCAAACAATCTCAGGGAGGGGGGCAGGGCAACATACCAAAGAGAGAGAACAGATTACATGGAACAGTCATGCAGCGTACTGACCAGGAAAGGGGCTTAGGGGTTATTGTAGAAAAATCCTTGAAGCCACCAGCCCAGTGAATGGCTGCAGTAAAAGAGGCAAACAGGATACTGGGGTGCGGCACCCGCGGGACAGACACAAATCAGAAGAAGTGACATGGTTACTGTACATGGCACGGCCTAGACCTCACCTCCACATACTGCTCTCAGCCTTGGTTACATTGGAAACATTACCAGGGTCTTAGATGGGTGTCCCTGAGAGCCAGAGAACTAGGCCTCGCTACCAGCTCTGCCTGACAGAGCTGCCCTTGGGAGCATCCAGCCCCTCTCCACCTCACTGGAGTCCGTACAGTTCTACCCAGCTGGGACCCCCGAGGAGGTCAGGTCATGTCCACCTGCCTTTACTCGGCTTGTTTTGCTTTGTAATTCTGAGGGAGATTTCCCAGTATCCTAGGACCCAGTAGGACAGTAGTGAGAACTAGGTGCCCAATGTACTGCCACACAAAATCCCCAGGACAGAGGAAAATTCCTTGTCCTCTGAGGCCCTAGGACTCTCGGCTGGTCGGAAAGAGCACTCACGACTTCTGACCACCAGTTCTGAGCTAACAAGCCACGTGGCATTCCAATCCTGTTAGAGTCCCCCTTCATCTTCCTCTCAGCCAATCATTCTCAATCTCTCATACACGAAAAGAATACCATAAATATCGATTAAAAGGCAGACAAGCACGCCGATCATCTAGGCTCTGAGAAAGACGGGAAAGTAAGGACTTTTCAAGGGGAGCTTGAGTTTACATCTGTCATCAAGTTGCGACAGGGTGAAGAGATTTCCTAAAGAAGTGGTCCATGAGGGAAGTCATAGGAAGAAACGGGTCTGGGGTGGCTCCGCGGCACAGTGGTCATGTGCTTTGCAGGAAAAGCTGGGTCCCACGTGGCGCCTGCAGTTCAAATCCCCACTCAGCCTGCCTGAAACACACCGGAACCGTGTGAGTGCCCGAGATCACATGGGCTACAGGGCTGAAAGAAGGTCGCTGGGGCATGACCAGACCCTGTGGAAGGCGCCTCTCACTCTCTCTTTCTCTCTCATGTATGCACACATTCCATCATGATAAAAAGAAAAAGATCCTGGAAAAAAGGAGAGGTTCTGGGAGAACTGGGGAACATCATGGCTTCTGGCTGCGTAGAGGTGACTTAGGGTCTGCGTCCTGCCTGTGAGAGGTGCACCCTACTTGCTTCTCACTAAACATGCCTCCTGCTCAGGACCTCCTGAAACAGCAACCCCGAGCAGAGTGAAGGACATCAAGGACATCAAGTAGCCCATGTGTCCAGGCAGCAAATGCCCCGCAGAAGGAGAGCTGTGGTCTGACCCTGCTCATTGCTGGACAGGAGACGGCCGACCTGCAGTCTTTGCCCTGACAGTGCAGCGCAGTGGGTCACCTGGAGGAAGCTCCAGACAGGAGTGCTGGGGTACATTCTGGGAACTCCCGGGCAGCAGGCTGCCTGTGGAGTGGCTGTTGTCCCAGGTAGTGGGGCCTCGGCCTGCGTGAGGAGCAGCTTCAGCCGCACTCTGGTCAGTCATGAAATTTCCATCCATCGCCAGAGCAATGTGAGTTGGAAAGGTGCTGTTGGTCCACAACTTAGCGTAGGAGCTAAAGAGGGCGTCGGAGAATAGATGCCCCACAGTGCCCCCAGAATAAAGCTTACTAGGGAGCAGCTCTGCACTCAGATTCCTCACGAGCTCGTCTGGAGAAAGCAAAGGAGCAAAGACAGGAGCAGGC